GACTTTTGTGTGCAAAGGTTTGTGTACAATTTTTATTCAAATAGATACGGAATTTAAACAAGCAAACATATATTAAAGCCATACTAGAAAACAAACAAATGAAGGGGAAAAATATTAGTTTGGAAATAAAAAAACAAACAAACAAATGTAGTCCAAATTTAAGAGATTAAAAATATATTGAAGTTTCTTTTTGAAATATATATTATATCAATTTTTTAGTACAAACTATAAGTTACATCAATTTTTATGTATATCAATGAAGTATCAAATAATTTTAAAAATTTTGAAAATATGATCTATACAAAAGGGAATTTCATTCCAATAATAAAGTTTGAGATAAAATTATTTAATTAAAATTTATTTATGATGTAATAGTTTGTCCAAGTTATGTCTCACCAACTATATTAGACCTTTGATGGTTTTATATAGAATGTAAATTTTATCGATCTAACCTTTAAGTATATTAATTGATTATTTGTGTCAAATTATATAAAAATAATAATATAATAAAAAATAATCAAATAATTTACAATCATATTTATTTTAAAAAAATATATATCATGTAAATTTTTATATACATGAATAATGTATTAAATAATTATCTTTAAAATAAAATTTTATAAATATAACTTATAAAGATAGAACATTCAAATTCACATTAACATCTAGATAAAATTACTTAATTAGTTGATAGTAGAGGTGACAATAATAATTGGTAACATCATGTTTTTTATAATTATAATGTATATTTGTGATACATATAATTAAGTGTGTTGATTTTTCTATTGTGGGGCGTGGGTTAGTATTGAGATAACCCTAATCTTAAAATACTAGTAATATAACTTAAATGTGTGAGAGTTGGCTTGTGGAAGGTTGAGGCATGTAAGGGAAAATTTAAAAAGGGAACTTCATAAGTTTTAGAATTCAGATTTTTTAGAGAGAAGTTAAAAAGAAAGGTTCTTCGACTCATATTTTCTATTTAAGCCTTCAATCACCTCTAAGATCGTGGATTTTCTCCAAAGCATGAGAATAAAGTATCTTGAAGTCAAAGGAAGATTGTGGAGTTGAGATCTTGAAG